ATCATATTTCAAAATCCAGACTCCTTTATTTAAAGTAGAATTTATTGATTTATAATTTCGGCTGATAATACAATTGCAAGTATCTCGTGATTGGATGATCCAAAATCAATGAATGTTAGCTCATTGGATTCGCCTAGTTTCGAGGAATCAAATGGTAGTTGTTTCATATGAATCGATGCGATATTGACTGAGATCATACATCTTTTTTTTTAAATATAAAAAATCATGTGATATAACGTCATTTCGACTATTTCGTGACTTTAGCCTCTAATGGTCGAAATGATTTCGACCATTTCGACCATTTAAGATATTCAAAATTATCCATTTCGACTTCATGTATATATACAGTCATATGTTTTTTATTGGCAAAATTAGGATAACCTGAAATCGCTGAAATCACATGAATTTTATCATTATTCTATCGTTAGAAACCAGTAAAGGATATGATTCTTTCATCACTTTTACAAAATATACAGGAAAAATGTGAAAAATTTGTAGCTAGCTTTATTAAGAGTGATATAAACATTTTATCACAAAAACTTTCATATAATAAGGAATGTAAAGAATCAGATGAGAAACTTGCAGAGATCACATTAAGAATTTTGAATTTTTTAAATGATTCATGAAATAATTCTGCATTTAGTTCTGATTTGCAAAATCACAAAATGAAGGTACTTATGTAACTAACATAATTATATCTGCTATTTGGGCTACATTAAAAGGTCTTCCTTTAGAAAGGTCATTTTATGTTAGCACGTAAGTTATAATATAATTAGAAAAAGTGATATTTTGAAAACTTCTACCCTATAAATAATCTGTATAAGGAAAGTATACAGAAATAATATGTTTAAAATATATAATAAACGTAGAAAAATAGTATAATAAATTTGTAAATATTTCTGTATACGTGATACTGAAAATCGACTTTTTTTGTATACAAAAAAATACAGAATTTATACGTCTAATCAGTATATTGTATATGTTATTTTACATAGATTTTTTTGTGTCTAATCAATATATTGTATACGTTATTTTTGGTTAGATTTTATATTTCTAATCAGTACAATGTATATGTAATTTTGATTAAATTTTATACTTCTAATCAATATATTGTATATATTATTTTACATAGATTTTTTTGCATTTAATCAGCATATTGTATATGTTATTTTTGGTTAGATTTTATATGTTTAATCATAATGTTAAATACTATATATATTACTGTCATTATGTTTATATTTCTTTCTTATATTATCATTATTTTTTTTTATAATTCTTTCCATTGTTAATATTATTCTTTCTATAATATTTTCTTAAATTATTTTTATTTTTTTAACTTTATAACTTTAATAAAATAATTCTTTATTTTTATTTCAATATAATTTCTTTAATGTTTTTCTAATTTTCAATTTATATACAAGTAAAATAACTTTATTTACTTTTATAATTTCATTATTCAACAACTAATCATTTTAGATAAAAGTATTCATTTTATTTGTATTTAAAAATTTATTTATTTAAAATAATTTTATTTTATTTTAATTTTTTTTGAAAAATTAAACTTGGTTTTTTAATTATATTCAAAGGGTTGATATAATAATTTTATATAATAAAAGTGATAAACCATAACTACCTGTGATGAATAATCTAATTACAGTCAAACCTTGATATAGCGAACTCTTGATATAGCGAATTTTTAAATCAAATATATTAAAATTACCTTATT